ATCTGATGCCCTCTTCTGGCCTCTGCAAGCAGTGCATGCACATGGTGCATTTACATACATGCAGACAGAACACTCATACACATAAAATAAAAATAAATAAAACAAAAAAATTTTAAAAAGAAAGTCACAGCCAGGCATGATGGTGCATGCCTTTAATCCCAGCACTTGGGAGGCAGAGGCAGGTAGATCTTTGTGAATTTGAGGCCAGCCTGATGTACACAGTGAGTTCCATTCCAGGCCAGCTGGGGCTACAGGGAGACCCTATCTCAAAAACTCAAAAAGAAAAAAAAAAAAAAAAAAAAGAGGCTGGAGAGATTGCACTGGCTGGCTACTCTTACAAAGGATTCAGGTTCAGTTCTCAGCACCCACATGACAATTAACAACTGTCTGTAATTCTAGTTCCAGAGGATCTGATGCCCTCTTCTGACTTCTCCAGGCATTGCATGCATGTGGTACACTTACATACATGCAGGCAAAATACCTGTACACATAAAATGAAAATAATAATAATAATAATTAAGCTGGGCATGGTGGCGCATGCCTTTAATCCTAATCCTAGGATCCAGGAGGGATGGAGGTGGAGCTCTATGAGATTGAGGCCAGTCTGGTCTACATAATGAGTTCCAGGTCAGCTGGGGCTACAGAGAGACCCTGTCTCAAAAACCAAACCGAACCAAGCCAAACCAAAAAACTTCCCAAAACTTGGGAGGCAGAGGCAGGTGGATCTCTGAGTTCAAGTCCAGCTTGGTCTACATACTGAGTTTCAGGCCAGCTGGGGCTACAGGAAGAATCCTGTCTCAAAAAAAATAAAACCAAAACCAAACCAAAACAAAACAAAACCCACCAAAACAAAACAAAAACATCCAACATTGACGTTTGTTTCCCCCAAATGTGTATATACACACATACACATACACAGAAGTAATAGTTCTAGAAAGATTCAAGAATAGCCTTGGAAGGCACAAGCATTTGTAGGATATGGACATCAGGGCAGAGAGAAGGAACTAAAGCTTAAAACTCAAGCAGGAGAATTACTGAAGTTCAGGAGTTAGAGGCCAACCTGGGCAACACAGTGAGACAGTCTCTTAGAAAAGTAGGAAGAGGGGGAGCAGTGATATGGTTCATCAGGTAAAGGAGCCTGCTGCCAAGCCAGGTGGCCCGAGTTCAATCCCCAAAGCCCACATGGTGGAAAGAGAGAACTGACTCCTATAAGTTGTCTGTAAACCCACAAGCATACTGTACTATGCATGTGCCTTCCTCAATAAATATATATAATAAAAATAAAAGGTTAAAACTTTGGCTGAAGAGATAGCTCAACAGTTAAGAGCACTGGCTGTTCATGCAGAGGACCTAAGTTCAGCTCCCAGCACCCATATGGCAGCTAACACTCATCTGTAACTCCAGTTCCAGGGGATTCAACACTCTCTTCTGATCTCCACAGGCAGGGTGCACTTACACACATACAGGCAAAACATTATGACATATAAAAATAAAAATAATAGAATATTTTTTCAAAGGTTAAAACTCAAGCAGTATGTTTATATCAGAGCAAGCCTTCTTAGATTTAAAAAGACTGTGCACTGTCCATTTTTTTGTGTGTGTGCTGCTGGAGATTAAACCCAGCTCTTGCACAGGTTCTGACACTGCACAATTCTCCCAGGTACACAATCACAATTTAACTTTAGAACATTTTCACCAGCCTCCAAAGAAACTCCGCACTCAACTATAGTCTTGTGAGCAACCATCTCTCCACTTCCCATCTCTACTGAACTGCATTTTCTGGAAACTAGCACAGCTGCAATGCTGGTACTAGGGAGGGTAAGGTGGGAAGATCTTGAGTTTGAGGCCAGCCTGAGCTAAATACAGATGCCGTGTCTCAAGAAAACAAAGTGAAGGAAACAGATTTTTCCTTTCTGCACATTAAAATCTAAATGAAACCGACAATATGCAGCCTTTTATGTCTGGCGTCTTTATGCTTTTCAGGTTCATCTGTGTTATATGAATCAGTAGCCTGTTTCTTTTTTTTTTTAACTGAGTAATACTATTCCTTTGTGTGGCTATACCACAATTTGCTTATCCAATTATCAGTTGATGGGCATTTTAATTATTTCTAGATTATGATGATCACGAATAATAATGCTATGAACATTCACACAGAAGTCTTTTTAAAAAAGGTTTATTTTTTATTTATGTGTAAGTATGTGTGTCTGCATGAATATATATGTACCACATGTATGCAATGCCCAAAGAGACCAGAAGTGAGAGTCAGACCCTTAGAGCTGGAGTTACAGACAGTTGTTAGCCTCCATGTATGTGCTGGGAACTGAACCCAGGTCCTCTGCAAAAGCAGCCAATCCTTTTAATCATAGAGCCATCTCTCTAGTAGAGAAGATGTCTTAGAAGTCTTTTTAAGAAATATTTTATTTATTTACTATTATTTTTTATGTGTATGAGTGTTTTGCCTGCATGTGTGTAAGTGCACCTGTGTTGTGCAATGCCCTCCGAAAGTCAGAAGGAGGATTCAGATTCCCCTGGAACCAGAATTAAAGACGGTTGTTAAGCTGCCATATGGATACTGGGAATTAAACCCAGGTTCTCTGCAAGAGCGGCCAGTACTCTTAACCACTGAGCCAACTCTCCAGTCCCAGATGTCTTAGAAGTCTTGTTTATTAAATTTTTTAAAAAATTTATATCTTTTTATTTATTTGATTTATTTCTTTTTGTTTATTTATTTATTATGTGTAGGAGTGTTTTGCCTGCTTGTATGTAGTACATCCATGTTGTAGAAAGCCCATGGAGGCCAGAAGAGGGGGTTGGATCCCCTGGAACTGGAGTTACAGATGAGATGGTTGTTAGCCACCATGTAGGGGCTGGGAGTTGAATCCAGGCCCTCTGAAAGAACAGCCAGTGCTCTGAACTGCTGAGTTATCTCTCTCGCCCCCCATAGTCTTAATGTTGATATCTATATTCCTTTTTCTTGGGCATATATATATATATATACACACACATATGTATAAATATGTATATATATATGTATATATAAATACACACACCCATATATGTGGACTTGCTGGGTCTTACATTAAGTCTGTTATTAACTGAAGGAACTGGCAAACTGTGTTTCCAATGCTTGTGCCTTTACCATCCCATCAGTAATGGGGACTCCCTTCTATATCTTGTCATTTGTTTCTGTCCTTGTTATTATTAATCTATTCATTCCAATTGGAATGAAGTAACTTTTTTTTTTTTTTTTTGAGATGATCTTACTAAGTAGTCTGGCTGGCCTGGAACTCTATGTACACCAGGCTGACCTCAAGCTCAGATCCACCTGCCTCTGCCTCCCAAGTGTTGGGATTAAAGGTGTGTGCCACCAAACCTAGCATACATTTTATTTTTTGAGATAGGGTCTCAAAGAGACAAGGCTGGTCTCCAACTTGCTATATAGCTGAGGATGTTCTTGGACTTTTGATCCTCCTGCCTCTATCTCTGCAGTTATGGATTTACAGGGTGTTTCAACCCTACCTCCAGTTTTTTAATTGTAGTTTTGATGTACATTTTTCCAATGATTAATGAAGCTGACACTTAAGATTTTTTTTTTTTTTGGTCTTTTTGAAGCAGGGTCTCCCTGGGCCCCCAGCTGTCCTGGAACTCACTATGTAGACCAGGCTGGCCTTGAACTCACAGAGATCCGTCTGCCTCTGCCTCCCAAGTGCTGGGACTACAGGCGTGTGCCACCACACCTCGCAAGAATTTTTTTCATGTATTTTTTATCCATTTGTTTACTTTCTTTGGTGAAATATCTATCCAAGTTCTTTTCCCATATATATATTTTATTTTGGAGGCAGAGGCAGGCAGATCTCTCTGAGTTCAAGGCCAGCCTGGTCTACATAGTGAGTTCCAGGACAGCTGGGGCTACAGGAAGACCCTGTCTCAAAAAAACCAAAAAAAAAAAGTCTGTAACTTTAGTTCCAGGGGATCCGACAGCCTTTTCTGTCCTCTGTGGGCATTGCGCAACACGGGTGCACTTACCTACATGCAGGCATAACACTCATACACATAATATAAAAATAATAAATTATTTTTTAAAAAGTAAACATTCTAAGGCTTGGCATGATGATGTACACCGGAGGTGAAGGCAGGAGGATCCGAAGTTCAAGGTCATTCTCTGCTACATGACAATCCCAAAAAAAAAAAAAAAAAAAAAAAAAAAGATGCTTACTGCCAAGCCTGACAATCTAAATTCAATCCCTGAAACCTACCTGGTAGAATGAGAAAGCTGATTTCTGAGGGTTGTCTTCTGACCTCCATATGCATGTCATGGTGCATGTGTGGACACACACACACACACACACACACACACACACACACACACACAACCTATAGTTAAACTAAACAAATAGCCAGGTGTGGTGATGCACACCTTTAATCCCAGCACTCAGGTGACAGAGGCAGGTGGATCTGTGGATTTCGGTGAGATCAAAGCCAACCTGATCTACATAACAAGGGAGACCTTGCCTCAAGAAAACAAAACAAGGCTGGGTGGGGGTGGCACATGCCTTTAATCCCAGCAGTCAAGAGGCTGAGGCCAGCAGATCTCTGTGAGTTCAAAGTCACCCTGGCCTATAGAGCAAGTTTCAGGCCAGATGGGGCAATAGGAAGACTGTGTCTCAAAAAGATTTAAAAAAGAAAGAAAGGAAAAAAAAGAAGCAAAAACAAAACAAAAAATCCAAATAAATAAATAGGCCCTAACTCTTCCCATAGGAAATAAGAAAGCTACTATTCACTGAGGAAGGTATGAGTCAAGGAAAACAGGACAGAGAAGGAAGGGTACCTCTAAGCTGATCACTTCGTCCCTGAACGTTTGTCACCTGAGTAGTATCTAACAGAAAACCCTACCAAACATCCCACAGCATCCCACTAACAGCTCTTCGATTTCTTCTCAGGAACTAAGAACAAATGCTTGAGACCTGAAACCAAACTCTTTCCACAAATGTACATACCTTGGTCCATCCGGGAAACTGGATGAAAGTGTCCTGAGGCAAATCTGGGATGCCCGAGGGAATGGAGAAGTTGCCTATATAAAAGGCGGGAAGTGTTAAGTTCAATGGCTGGAAAGTCAAGTGTCCATCATGGCGGGCGCCATCATGGGCCTCCCAGCCCCCCAAGTGGCTTTGAACTGCTGCTTCAGTGTCCAGCGGGAAGATTGTCCAGTTTGTGAGGATACTGGAGTTGAGGGTCAGATTAGAAATCAAACCCTGTGAAAGAAACACACAGCACCATCAGCCAACAGGGAAGGAAAAGGACTTTAGGTATCACCAAATTCTAAATTAGTGACAGGAAACGGAGGCTTAACTGCACAGCCAAGTGACACAGATCAGCCTGAAGTAGAGTCACAGTGGAACATCTTGGCAGGAAGGACCATATTCTAAAGGGACACTTGTGTCCCTCCCTTTGGCTATCAGGCCACTGAAATAACGAAGTCTAAGGAATTGGAACTTCCCTGGGAATCTCACCTGGGAGAAGGAAAAGGCTAGGGTCCTAGAGCAAATCAGAGGAGAAACATGTCTCCCAGGAAGAGCTGTCACACAAGATGGACAACTTATCAGTCCACCTTGCAGGAGAGACTGGAGCTGAGACAGTGATGGGTCAGCAATGGGCAGGGCCACACCTAGACCAGGACTGCTTATCTATGCACACCTCTTGCCCTCTTTTTAAACCTAAACCTCATGTCAGGACCCTGTGGATGGACTTGAGAGGTCAGGGGACCTGTTTGTTTCTCTTCCAATATGGCAATATTGAATAAAACTCTCTCTGCTTTTCATTATTCCTTGTCTGTTTAACTGGCTTTTTGAGGCAATGAGTGGCTGAGCCTGGCTTGTTAGGGCTGCCAGGGCTCAGACTCCGACCCTAACAACTCTTTGGAAAGAGGTAAATTCCTACACTCCAGCTTCTCCCTCCTGTGAAGGCCAGGAGTCACCACAAAGAGACAGAGCTTCTGTTCTACAGGAAGTGGGTGCAGGTGACCCCAAATTGTACAGTCTTCAGAACTTTCGAGAATGGTAGAAAAATTAATACCGAGGAAGAGGAGAATGAGTGAGCAGGGAAGCTAGGAACATGCACCCCAATGTGGATGTCTAGGGGTAGCCTCTGCCCCTCACACCAACCAGGGTAGCGGGGGAGAGCTTTGGCCTTTGAGTGTCTGAGTAATCCACTTAATCAGGACTTCGAAGGGGAATACTGTGGAGCAAGGAAAGGATCTAGAGGGTGACGAGAGGATGAACTGCAGAACTGTTTTAGAAGTTGCTCTAGAATGTCCCACAGGGACCAGGGGCTAGAGTGTCTCTGGCTAGAGTCATCACAGGGAAGCTTATCATCATGATATATTCATTTTTTTTTTTTTTTGGAGACAAGGGTTCATGTAGCCCAGGCTAGTTTGGCACCTACAATGTAGCTAAGGCAGGCCTTGAATTCCTGATTCTCCTGATTCTACCTTAAGGATTGGGACTGCAGGTGTGCTCTACCACACCTGGCAACTCATTGAATTTCTCATTCATGTTTTTTTTTTTGTTTGTTCAGATAGAATCTCATGTAGCCTGATCTGGCTTTGAACTTGTGATCCTTCCCAGTGCTGAGATTATAGGTGTATGTGGTATATATGTGTGATGTATGTTATATATGTGTATGATGTCATGTATGTGTGGTATATTATACGTGGTATATGTGTGCATGTGAGGTCTGTTATATTGGTGTGTATATGGTGTAGTGTGTATGTGTGTGTGCATGTGAGGTGTGTTATGTATGTGTGTGGGGTGCAGTGCATGTATGTGTATCCATGCTCCATTCACCCTCGGCTTTGTACATAGGGAGTTTCTCCATTCCCAATAGGATCCTGAATCTGTCTCCAGACACCTTCTGATATCAAATTTGAACCATATGTTTAGTAATTCAGTCAATATCAAGCATGGGCTGTGTGCCAGGATTTTTGATGGGTATGAGGGACCCAGAGACTACACAGCAGGATCCTGGTCACTCCATGGGTCAATGTGGTCCATGACAGCCAGCCAGGAAGCCTAACTATAGCCTGAACACAGGGATGGTAAGGAAGACAATTATATGGAGGAAAACTCTGGGAACAGCTCCCTAAGGGTGTAACTGCTTGCTGTACACGTGGAAGTACTGGACTTCAGATCCCCAGCACCCACATAAATACTGATGGGCATGACAGCCTGCCTGCAATCCCAGTGCCCAGGAGAGGAGACAGGAATCCCAAGAGCAAGCCGGCTAGCTACACTAGCTGAATCAAATCAGCAAGTTCTGGGTTCCCTGGAGAGACCCTGCCTCATTATAAGGTGAAGCATAACTGAGGAAGACGCCCAACTGTCAACCTTGGCCCTCCATACCCAGGCACACATGTACACCCACAAACCTGTGAACATGCATACACATGTATGCACTATACATATACAGTAAGGGACCGTCTCCAGTCCCTTCCATTGCTCTAGAGTTCAGGCCTTCTCTGCTAACTAGTAAGAAACAGCCCATTCTGTTGCCCCCTTTCTCCTTGGGCCTTGGCCCTTACCTCTCTGAGGCTGCGGGAGACTTAGCTGAGCTCACATCTTCTTTTAGAACAGGCCCAATTGATACCTATCGCCTCAACTTGGGTCTAGGTTCCTTCACCTCCTGGAGAGCTCTTGACTAGCCTGCCTGGATTCATCTGTCAAAAAAAAAAAAAAAAAAAAAAAAAAATCAAAAGGTCAAGAAGGAGCCCCAGGACAACCCCTGTACTGTCCTAGGCTCGGTGTGGTACTATAGCTCCTGTGAACCTTCTCTCTCCAAATAAGGTAATCCAGGGGAGAGCAGCCTGTATCCATTTTTGTATCCCCTGAATCACTTTGGAGACATTATGAAGCTTAATGAAAGTTTCCTGAGCTGGATGTGGTGGTTCACATCTGTAATCCCAGGGCTGCTGAGTTCCAGGCCAGACTGGGCTAGGGAATGAGATCCCATCTCAAAAAAAAAAAAAAAAATTTCCTGGGCTAGGGATGTAGCTCATTTGGTAGAGTGCTTGCCTAGCATACATGAAGCTCTAGGTTTGATTCCCCAGCACCACATAAACTGGGTGTGGTGGTGCATGCCTGTAATCCCAATAGTTGGCACGTAGAGGCAGGAAGATCAGGAATTCAAGGTCATCCTCTGCCAGTCAGTTCAAGCCTAGTCTAGGCTACATGAGACACTAACAAAACAAGCTTTTCAGTGATGATAAAGTATATCTGAGGAGACAGTAAAGAAAAAAAAAAAAGAAACAAATCAAGCCAGGAGTGGTGGCATGTACCTTTTAATCCAGCACTCAGGAGGCAGAGACTGGTGGATCTCTGTGAGTTCCAAGCCAGCCTGATCTACATAGTGAGTTCTAGGCTAGCCAGGTCTCAAAAAACAAACCAACAGGGGCTGGAGAGATGGCTCAGTGGTTAAGAGTACTGACTGCTCTTGCAGAAGACCTGGGTTCAATTCCCAGCACCCACATGGCGGCTACAAACTGTCCCTAACTCCAGTTCCAGGGGAATCCAAAGCTCTCCTCTGACCTCGGCAGCATTGCACGACATGGGTGCACTCACATACATGCAGGCAATACACTCATACACATAAAATAAAAATAATAAATAAAATATATTAAAAAAACAAAACAAAACAAAACCAACAAAAGAGACAGCCTGAGAGGGTGGGTTCGTACCTCCATCAGGGTAGTGGCTCGGAGCTCAGCAGACTGCCAGAGAGTGCCAGGTTCTGGCCTCCCTCTGGCCTCCAACTACCAGAGGGCCTGAGAACCCAGGGGACTGCCTGACAGCCACTGGATCCTGTTTCCATGTGGTATTGATGATTTTGTTCCTAACCAGAAAGTGCTGCCCAGATGTAGGACTTTGGGTCTTGGTCTCCAATACTGTAGCGCCCACCTGTAGCTGGGGAAGACAATCAGCTTTTGTTCTAAAATGATGGATAAGTTTGTTTTCTCCCCCTATCTGGAAGCCTTTAAGAGGGAACTGACACTGATTCTAACCACTCCCACAGCTATCAAAATACCAGAAAGCAAATCCTGAACCCATCACTCTATAGTGACACACCTTGGAAGACAAAAGAAAAATGAGGAGGAACCCAACAGAGGGAAGCCCTTGTCAAGAAATTCCAAAGGACTCTCATATGAACATTTGAAAATTATTCTGATTTTTTTCTAGTTCCCTGTCTAGAACTTGTAATGCTAATTATTTTTGCCTTTATTTTTTCCTTCACATCTCCTATTCATGATTCAAAGACTTTCTTTTCCTCCTTGTGATAATAGTTATGCAATTTGGGAGTACTTTAGATAGACCCACTGAAGGGGTACTCCAATTGGCTCACCCTGTGTCCCTGTTCAGCATGGAAGAAGCCAGAGCAGTCTGCATCCCTATTCCCTATTGGCAAATTGGGTAACCCCTTTAGAGGATGGCGTGATAAGAATAGGAGGTAGGAACTGGCTAGGCAGTTAGGGTAAAAAGACCCCAAAGAAATGTAGCCAGTTTCTTGGCTAAAAATCAAAATGTCCTTGGGCCTGTTAGCAACATACTCTTTTCCAAAGGCCAAAAATGTCAAAAGTATTTGGGAGCTTGTATCTAATCCTTAAAAGGTTTTAGGGTTACCTCTTCAGAGGGGGGAATGTTGGAGGGGAGGAAGTGGGCATGGATTTGATCAAAACACCTTATATGCATGTATGAAATTCTCAATAAAGTTTTTGTAAAAGTTAAAAAACAAAACAAAACAAACAAACAAAAAACCCTAACAAAAAACAAAACTAACAAAAAAGAAATTCCTAATGCTCTAGAAATAGTTGTTAGAAAAACACAGCTGGATCGGGGCACAGAATAATCACAGGTGAACTGCAATGCAGCCGCAAAGACACTACAGCACAAATCTGTCCAAACCCACCAGCCCACCAAGGCCACCAGTCCAAGCCCGCACATCAAAGCCCACCAAATGCCAAGCTGGCTGTGTTGGCTGAGGAGTGCTGTTTATGTGCTAGGTGGGTTTTCAAAGCAGAGGAAGAGCATGGTAGCGCGGCTTCCGTTTCTTTCCAAAAGATGACTGAGCTCAGACAAAGTGCTCAATTTGCAAAGCTCAATGCTCTCATCAGGTACAGAGGAAAAGAGTTCTTCAAAGAGACTCATCTTCTAGACTGCAGAACAATTCAGGGTACTTCAGTCCTTGGGCTTGCAAAGTGTATAAGCTCTTAAAAAGATCTGCTGGGATGCTGGACAGCTGGACTGTGATGGCCACTTCACAGTGTATGCATACATTAAAATGTTAAGTGCTGGAGATGGACCTCAGTTACTAGAGTGCTGGCCTAGCGTGCATAAGGCCCTGGGTTCCAACCAGCATAAACCAGGGTGTGGTAGCGCATACATTGGATCCCAGTATGTGGGAGGTAGAGGCAGGAGGATCAGAGAAGTTCAATGTCATTCTTGGGTACACAGTGAGTTCACGACCAGCCTGGGCTACTTGAGGCTTTATCTCAAAAATGAAAAAAAATAGCTGGGCATGGTGGTGTATACCTTCAATTCCAGCACTGGGGAGGCAGAGACAGGCAGACCTCTGTGAGCTTGAGTCCAGCCTGCTCTATATAATGAATTCCAGGCCAGCCAGGGCTACATAGTAAGACCTTGCCTCAATCAATCAATCAATCAATCAATCAATCAATCAATCAATCAATCAATCAATCAATCAATCAATCAATCAATCAATCAATCAATCAATCAATCAATCAATCAATCAATCAATCAATCAATCAATCAATCAATCAATCAATCAATCAATATCAATCAATCAAATAGTTAAGTTGTACTTCTCAGATAGAAAAAGCATTAAAATTTGCTTCTGTGTAAATGTGAGTGCACATAAAGACCACATCTGAGTTTGAAATGGATATACAAAAAAACTTCCCCAACCACTGAGGCATGGGTCTATCCACCCTGTGGCCTCCTAACTTGTCCTACCTTGAAATCATCCATGTATCTGCCATAGTTCACGCGCCCCATGTTCTCTACCATAATGTCCAAAGTAGCTCCAGCTTTCCCCTGTATGTTGAGAGTTGCCGCTCTGTTTCGCTCCAGGACTCCTTGAGGGACCTACGGGTTGAGGCCAAACAAAAGCTGAATGGAAGGTAAGATAACCAAAAAGAGCAGCACGCACAGCACGCACAGCTAGTTTGGTGCTTATTTCCTTGTCCTGAAGGGTCACGAAGTTTACATGGAGTATTCGAGTATCCGCAGGCCAAGTCACTGGCTAGGTGGCTAAGTCCTCCTAGTCACTGTCTTCCTTTACAGGAAAACTGCTACACAAACATAGAACACACAAAGGGCTAGGCTGGTTTCCATGCCTTGGAATGTTATGCTGTGTGATTCCTTTATCTGAAACAAGATCTACTATATAACTCAGGTTGGGCTTGAACTTGCCTGACCTGGGTATCAATTCAGTTTTTTAATTTATCTTTCTTTCTTTTTTTTTTCGTCTTTTTGATACAGGGTCTCCCTGTAGCCCCACCTGACCAGCAACTCACTATGTAGACCAGGTTGGGCTCAAACTCACAGAGATCCGCCTGCCTCTGCCTCCACTAAAGGTGTGCGCCACCACACCTGGCCCCTTTATCCTTTTTTTGTTTCATTTATTTATTTATTTGAGCTTAGTGTATATCCAGTGCTAGCCTTGAACCTGTGATGTTTCTGCCTGTGCTGGATAGCTTCTGGTGTATCAACTTGCTACACCTGGGTAGAGGGAACCTCAATTGAGTAATTTTCTCCATTGGATTGGCCTATGGCCATATCTGTGGGGCATTTTCTTGATTGTTGAGTAATGTGGAAGGACCAGTCCGCTGTGGGCGTGCCACCCCTGGGCAGGTGGTCCTATATTGTATAAGAAAGCAGGCTGAACACAGGCCAGGAGGATCAAGTGAATAGGCAGCATTCCTCCATGGTCTGTGTTTCAGCTCCTGCCTCCACATTCTAGCCCTGAGTTCCTGCCTTGGCTTCCCTCAGTGATTAGCTATGACCTGAGAGATGTAAGATAAAATAAACCCTTTCCTCCCCAACTTGGTTTTAGTCTGTGCTTTTAACACAACAATAGAAAGTAACTAAGATACTGCCTCTACTTCCCAAGTGTTGAGCTTACAGGCCTGGGCTACCACATCTGGCTCCTGAGTGTCTATTTTTTTTTAATGTACATGAGAGTCATGCCTGCATGTATATAAGTGCACCCATGTCATGTAGTGCCTGAGGAGGACAGAAGAGGGTGTCAGATCTCCTGGAATTGGAGTTACAGATGGTTGTTAGCTGCCATGTGGGTGCTGGGAATCGAACCTGGATCCTTTGCAGGAGCAGCCAGTGTTCTTAACTGCTGCCAAGCCATCTCTCTAGCCACAAGTCTTTTTTTTTTTTTTTTTTTTTCTTTGGTCTTTTTGAGACAGGGTTTCCCTGTAGCACCAGCTGGCCTGGAACTTGCTTTTTAGACCAGGATGGCCTTGAACTCACAGAGACCTGCCTGCCTCTGCCTCCCGAGTGCCAAGACTAAAGGCATGTGCCACCATGCCCACCTGGGGTGTCTATTTTTAAAGGAACAAGACAGAGGCAAATTTCTAGGGGAGGATTCCTGTTAGAATTGCTTCATTCACAGCACAAGTCAGGCATAAAGTAATACTTTCTAAATAACATGGAGAGGTAAGATAAAATCAGATAAAATCAGGTAACAGATAAAATCAAGAGTTAGGTAGAGTAGTCTCACCTCAAGATACCTGATGGGGTGTACTAACCACAGAAATTATGTAACAGAATGAAGGAAAACAACAGGCATTTTATCAGCCACAGATTCCTAAGTTTTTCAAAGATTATTTTCTAGACCGGTGTTACAATGACCACAGTTCACTAAGACAACTCCTACAAACGGAAGTCAGGAAATTACCACAAGAGTAGCATCGAGGCTCAGAAACTTGTTCCCACTGAAATTAAAGCTGCTATTACGAAAGAATGAAACTCTGTGTGTGTGTGTGTGTGTGTGTGTGTGTGTACATACGTCTGTGCGTTCATGTCAGAGTGCACATGGGTATAAGTGCACATGTGAATGTATGTAGGTCAGAGGACCAGAGGACAACTTCTGATGTCATTCCTCAAAAACTGGCCTCACGCTCACAGAGATCTGCCTGCTTCTACTTACCAAGTGCTGGTATCTAAGACATGTGCCACCACGCCCGGCCCATCTTCGTATTGATCTTGAACATGCCATGTAGGCTAGGCTGGCTGGCCAAGGAATCCTAGGGATCCACTGCCTCCCCAGCACTGGGATTATAAATGCATGCTGCCACACCTGGTTTGTTTGTTTGCAAGCTGGGGATCTGAACTCAGGTCCTCATACTTGCAAGCCAAGCTATCTTCCCAGCCATTTTTTTTTTTTTTTTTTTGGTCTTTTTGAAGCAGGGTCTCCCTGTAGCCCCAGCTGTCCTGGAACTCACTATGTAGACCAGGTTGGCCTTGAACTCACAGAGATCCGCCTGCCTCTGCCTCTGCCTCCCAAGTGCTGGGACTACAGGCGTGTGCCACCATGCCCGGCCCAGCCATATTTTAATATAAACTTTTCTGAGTTTGATGTGGTGGTGCAGACCTGTAATCCCAGCAGTCGGGAGGTAGAGGCAGGAAGATCGGGAGTTCAAAGCTGGCACTGGATACATAGCAAGTTTGAGGGCCGCCTGGGCTGCAGGAGACCCTGTTTCAAACAAAACAAAACAAAGGAAAAACCCTAAAACTTTTCTGAACAAATTTTCTTGGTCAGGAAAATCTCATGTGTCTTTGTATATAACTATTTCGATGAGAAAAATGAATGGCAGTAGATAGCTTTTAAAATTATTGTTACATTTATTATTGCGAATGTGTGCACACACATGCCATGGCCCATGTGCGGAGGTCAGAGGACAACTTATAAGAGTCAGTTCTCTCCTTTCACCATGTGGGGCCCAGAGATTGAACTCTGTTTGTACAGATTGGCAGCAAGTGCCTTTACCTCCTGAGCCATTCTGCTGGCCCCTGACTACTGATATATTTTCTTATTTGTTTTTTGGAAACAGTTTCACCATGTAAGTAGGCAAGCCTGGACCTTGCATTTCAGTTGGGTTTATAGGCCTGTGCCATCAAGCTGGATGTTGGAGTGGGTGTCTTAAAATGTATCTGCATTTTGCTGGGAAACAAAGTTCTTGGTGCATTTTAGATACAATTGTCATGAGCAACTGTTTAGACTACAACTTCTTGTTCATGATGAGACACTGAGTTCGATGTACTTTGTGGGGTGACTGGTACCAAGCTGACATGGATACTGTCCCTAAGGAATAGAGAAAGCCTGGATGATGTGCTGAGCTCAGTCAGGGAACTGGAGGCCCAGGGATTCCCAGAGGGTGGGTTTTGTAGCATAGCCCTTGGGTTGAGGTGGGCGTGGGGTGTGTGGGAGGGTCATAGCAGTGAGCAAGGGGTACAGCCAAGGGACATCAGGAGGAGGGGTACAGGCTGAGGCTAGAGAGATGACAAGAGCTTCAAATGCCATGTTACTATGTGCAGACTATTCATGCTCCCCCATTAAGGCAGAAATGTATGGCTCAAAGGCAACACTTACCCCATCCACAGCTACATAGGCCCGATCGTGGATGCCATTGAAGGATGTAGATAAAACAGATGTGGAATTACTGCAGTCCTGAGGCAGTGTTGTACGGTACAGCACAAACCCAAAATACTGGTCAGAAAAGAATACAAAAAATTGTATCACTCTTGAAGTGTGCTCACTGAGAACTTGATTGCCCTTGATCTGGATGAAACAACATTCTGAAAACCATAAGGAATGAAAAACTTCCCCTACCCACAGTCAAATTCAAGTTGCAGGAAGGGAACTGCCTTGATTTTTTAGATCTTTAAAGAGCCATTCTAATAATAAGCTGCAAGGAACTGTCTGCCACCAGCAGAGAAAAGGTTAAGTCGTTGCCCAGAATGACCCAGGAATCACATCCTCTATGTCAGAAGTTACGAATGTTAACTAAAAACAAAACAAAGCAAAACAAAAAAACAAAATCAAAATCAAGGGCCTGAGAGATGGCTCAGCAGGTAAAGCTGCTTGAGTTTGATCCCCAGAACCCACATGGTGGAAGGAAAGAACTGACCCCTAAAAGCTGTCGTCTAACCTCCACATGTGTGCTGGGGCAGGCGCGTGCACACACACACACACACACACACACACACACACACACATGATAAACAAACAAACAAAAAAGTAATAATTATTAAAAACAACAACAACAAGAAAACCCCCAAACACAAGACAAACACCAAGTTCTGCTCAATGAAACATTCTCCATTACCAGGTTCCTGGGTTGAATCTGCCCTAAGGTACAAAACAAGACTCAATCTGAAACTATTTAAAGCAAATCAACAGGGGGAAAAAGAGAGAGTTGGGGGTGGGCAGCACTACAGAGGGTAACTGCCACCTAGTCAGAAGTTACTTTATTTTTACTTTTTGAGACAGGATCTCATGTAGCCCAGGCTGACCTCAAACTCTATGTAGCCAAGAATGATCTTCAACTTCTGATCCTCCTGCCTCTACTTCCAAGTGTTGAGATTATAGATATGCACCACCACCAAACTTAGTTTTGTGTGGTTCTGGGGATCAAACACAGGGCTTTGTGCTGGCTAGGCAGCACTCTACAACTGAGCTATGTCCCCAGCCTGGAAGTTATCTTTAGATGCTTCCATCCTTCATCCTAAGGGGACGCCTCTACCAGCCTCAGCACTCACAGGACCAGTTACTAACTTTGCCCATTTACTTCATGCTGTGGATATTAGTGAGTATAAACAGGGGCAAAAGCCCAAGTTGCCAAAAAGAATCCAAACAAAGTCAGTGTGGAACAGGGAAAAAGTCTCCTGTCTCTAGGGCCCAAAGTAGAAAGGTGATTTGTGAGTAGAGTTAGCCTACCTTCTGTGTTGCAGGAACAGGCCCCATGCAAACCTTCAAGCACAAGAACATCTGCCTGTCACACCCCAAATTCTGTCCCACTTTGTCTGCTTGCCTGCCTATCTACCTATGTTCATATGTATGTATATATGCATATATATATGTATTTACCTACCTACCTATAGTCTTATGTGCATATGTATGTATGGATATATGTATGTATGTATGTATCCTTCTATGAATGACTGATCAGTTTAGTACTAACTCAGAGGTTGAGGAAAACACTGAGCAGGGCTTCCAGGAGTAGAGGAAACTAAGTATTCTCTGCACAGACTTGGCTGAGGATTCAGGAGTCAGGGAGGGGTCAGTCTGCAGAGGCACCAGGTTGGGTCCCACTCTTGCAGCCTGTGCATCCCACAACTGAACAGGAAAGAAGCGTGTGGGTTGTCCCAGACCTGAGACAGTGGGGGCATGGGAGTCCCACCCAGTTCTGAGCAGAACTGTGGGCAGGGAGCAGAAAACAGCCTCAGAGCAATGGCTACCAACTGTCCAGGCATCCTAGGCCCTGTTAAGTGAAAGCAAAAATCTATTCCAGTGTGGGAAGAGACTGGAGAGTGACCCTCAGGCAATGGCAGTGAAGAAGTTGGTCTTGTGTGGGGCTCAACACCCCCTTGCCTGACTACAAAACAATTGTCAGAACAAAACAAATGTAAAAATAGCAACTGGTGGCAAATACCAAGCTAAGATTAGCCATGCTGTTATTAGGACACCTTGTCTGGGCTCTGACAGAAGTCGAAAGGAAGGCTCAGGTAGGTTAACCTTGCTGAAAGTGGGGCTGAGATCCCAACTAAGTGATGACAACAAAGGGACAAAGGAACTTGATGGGCATCCTGGTGCCACACCTGAAGACATGTCCCCTCTGTGTTCATACTAAAGGTATTTTACTGAGTCTGATAGGGAGGAACTGTCTAGAAATAGCCTCAACTCTTCAAAAACTGTCCATGTCAATCTGGGCAAGATGGCACATACATAATCCTGGCATGCGGGAGGTAGAGGCAGGAGGATAGAGAACTGGAGGCCAGTCTGGGCTACACAGTAAGTTCCAGCCTAGCCTGGGAAACATGGTGTCTCAAAACAAAACAAAAACAAAACTCACCTTCACAAAGAAAACTAGCAACAGTTCCAGGTGAGAAAAGACAAAGGAGATGTCATAATTAAATGGAATGAGATCACAGGTTGGAAACTAGATTTAAAACAATTTGAAAAACAGGGGCTGGAGAGATGGCTCAGTGGTTAAGAACACTAACTGTTCTTGCAGAAGACCCAGGTTCGAATCCCAGCACCCACATGGCAGCTAACAACTGTCTGTAACTCCAGTTCCAGGGGATCCGACAGCCTCTTTTGTCCTCTGAGGGTATTGCATGACACGGGTGAACTTACCTACATGCGGGCATAACATTCATACACAAAAAATAAAAATAATAAAATATTTAAAAAAAGATTTTGAAAAATAGAAAAATTCAATAAAAACAAACTGAAAAAAAAGAATTTAAAGGGAGGAAGATTAAAAAAAAAAAAAAAGAACTTTAAAAGGTATCACTGGGGGCTGGAGAGATGGCTCTGTGGTTAAGAGTACTGGCTGCTTTTGCAGAGGATCCAGGCTCAGTTCCCAGTACCCACATGGCAGCTAACAATCATCCATAACTCCAGTTCCAGGGGAAACTGACTCCCTCTTGTGGCCTCCATGGGCATTATACACATGTGGTGCATTTACATACATGCAGGCAAAATACACATAGACATAAAGTAAAAATAAATAAATAAAGTTATTACTGGGCAGTTCAGAACACCTGAGCAGAGAATACATATTAAATAATAGATGCTACTATAAATTTGAAGTGTGACCACAGCACTTGGTCATATAGGATGATGTCCTTGTCTTTGACAGGTATATCCTGCAGTATTGTGGGCTGAAGATAACATCTGTGAATGGTTGAAAAGAAAAAAAGCAGCACAGCACAGAGGGAAAAACAAAGCAAGAGAAGGAAGTGCTGCTACCTGGGGGATTCAGATGATGAGAAGTGGACAGGGTGAAAAGTTCCAAAATAACAAGTTGAGAAAAACTTCTAAAAATAGGTAGTGCCCAGAGATCTCACACACACACACACACACACACACACGCGCGCACACACACACACACACACACACACACACACACACGCGCACACACACACACACACACACACACACACACGAGAGAGAGAGAGAGAGAGAGAGAGAGAGAGAGAGAGAGAGAGACTGAACATAAGACGAATTCTTGTCAAGAGGAGGAAAAAAACTTCTAAGAACCCAGGCTGCCAAACACACAGCCTTGTACCACTGAGTTAACCAAGAACCAACAGTTAAATTGACTTTTTTTTTAAAGACAGGATCTCACTGTGTAGCCCTGGCTGACCTGGAGCTCACCTATGTACATCATGCAGGCCTTGATCTCAAGAGAGTCACCTGCCTCTGCTTCTGAAGTTCGGAATTAAAAATGTGCCCACTACACCAGGCCTTTTTTTTTTTTTTTTTCCTCTGAGACAGGGACTCATGAAGCCCAGGCTGACCTTGTACTATATAGCCGAAGATGACTTTGAAATTCTGATCCCTCTGCCCTACTTCCCACCTGCTGGGATTACAGGCATGTGCCACCAGGCCTGGTTTATGCAGTGCTGGGGATAGAACCCAGGGCTTTATGGCATGTCAGGTGAGTATTTTACCAACTAAGCTATATCCCTAGCTTTGAATTGCCTTTTCTCAGTATTAACATAGCGTTTTTCCATGGATGACTAATAACTGTATGGAAGCACCATTTTGCCAGTGGAGGCTTACCTACCTGCTTCACCTGGACGAATGTCAAGGGATACAGGCTTTTCACAGGCCCATTGGGACACAGGAGATCCAGAGCTGCAGCCACTGTCTTGAACTGAAAAGAAGCAAAAACAGGGCTCACTATCACCAACACGTCACCAGTCATTAGAGGGTTGATATGGTGTCTAAATTATCAGCGACATTTCAATAAATGTTAATTGTCCAAATTCCATGTCAAATTGCTTCACAGTCACCTATGACCTTATTCACCCCACCATTCCTCCCATGCCTCCCTACTCCCTACCTGCTGTCTCTCTTTATTTCTTCTTTTTGAGATAGGGTCTCATGTCTGCCAGGCAGGCCTCAACTTGCTACGTAGCCAAGGGTGACTTTGAACTTCTGGTCTTCCTGTCTTAACCTCCAAATGGTAGGATTACAGGTGTGTGTCACCATGTCCAGTTTACCTGGTGCTAGGGGTTAAACCCAGGGCTTTCTGCATGCTAGACAAGCACACTACCAAATAAGCTATATGCCCAGCACCCACACCCCCATTTATTTGTTTATTTATTTATTTATTTTTTATTCCTTCTTTCCTTCCTCCCTCCCTCTCTTTCTTCTTTCCTTTAGCTTTTTTCACTGTGCTGAGATTGAACTCTGGCCTCGGACATGCTGAACAAGTGCTCAACCATTCAGTTGAAACCCCAGGTACTGGGGTTTTTTTTTTGTTGTTGTTTTTTTGAGACAGGGTCTCACTGTGTTGCCCTGGCTAACCTGAAACACACTATGTAGACCAGACCGGCCTAGAACTCACAGAGATCTGCCTGCCTCTGCTTCCCCAGTGCTGGGATTAAAGGCGTGCACCGCCACATTCTGCAAACAGCTCCTAACTCCTGATGAAAATGTAAATGATGGTAGTGTTAAAAAGTTTCAAGCACACCCATTCAGAAATACAGCTTGCTCAGAGCATCTCTAAAGGCCTCAAAATTAATGAGATCCAAGGTGTGATGGTTGCCTCCTCTGCAAAGCTCTGTACCACATTTTCTAGTGAAAGAACTCTGATGCAAAGACAGTAGCTAGAGGCAAATCACTCTACAGTTAGATCTGCACAACCATGCTGTGTCCTCATTCCACAGTTACTTTACCCTCTTTGGATCTTATGCGGTTTATGTCTGAACCCGCGTCATGACTTGGGCAAATTGTCCTCTGACCTCCACAAGTATACCAACATAGACCCTCTCACACACACTTAAATTAAAATTTTTTTTTTTAGCTTATGTGTATGTTTTACCAGCATGTATGTAAGTGCATCCATATGTGCAATGCCAGAGGAGGCCAGAAGAGGGCATTTGAACCCCTAGAACTGAAGTTATAGATACTTGTTAGCTGCCATGTGGGTACTGGAAACTGAACCTGGGTCCTCTGCAAGAGCAGCCAGTGCTCTCAACCAGTGAGTTATCTCTCCAGTTCTTTCTTCAAATTTTGAGACGGGGTCTCACGTAGCCAAGGCTAGCCTGAACTCTGTGTAGCAGAGAATGACCTTGAACATCTAATCCCCTGGCTTCCACTTCTCCATGCTGAAATCAGGCATACACCAACACACCTTGTGTCTTTAAGACAAGATTTTACTCTAGCACAGGCTGCCTGGAACCTGCTATATAGTCCAGACTGTTCTCAAACTCACAGCTATCCTCCTGCTTCAGCCTCCTAAGTGCCAGGATTATATGTATGAGCCACCATGACCAATTTGAGGATTTTCTTTCACCACACTAAGCTACATTTTTGGGTTATGCTTTTAAATTTCAGCAGTATTGTTTTAAACATTTGTTATTTTATGTCACATAAAAGGACATTTTCACTGTTCTAAAATCAACCAATCTTTTTCTTAAGTAGCTACAGTGATGAACATATGAGTAGAGGGCGCCTCTTCCCAAGTGTGATTCAAAGCCTGATTAATTTAAGGAGAGATTCCTATCAGAGACCACATTCTTTGTAGAACGAGGCACCTGTATGTGACACTGAGTGGAAAATTTTACAATAGCACTGCCAGCCAACCAGAGGGTCAGAGGGCTTCTCGGATGGAAATGTTACACTACTGTGTTTGGTGTTTGGCTTCAAGATAAGAACTTATGATGCTATTTTAGAATCTTGAGATTCTTAAGAAATAAATGACGGTTCATGTTTTTTCTTCTTCTTTCTCTTGTGAGTGAACATGTAGGAGTTAGGGATGGGGAGAGGGGAAAACCTGAAGAAACAGAGGGTCAAAACAAACCAATTTTGGGACATTGCTCCCTCGGACTATTAAGTAACACTCTCCTCTTCTTTTCCCGGAATAAAATGATCTTAAATCATAAATGATTAATTTCTAGATTTTTCCTCTGATGTCCCATTATTCCATAAGCCACATAAGTTAGGATATGATTTTTAGGGTAAAAGGTCTAATTTAGGGCAGAGATATCAAAATTCTTGTGGCTTGGAGGAACTCCTTAAAAAAAGGGTAAATGGAACTGGAAAGACAGCTCAGCAGAGATGGGCATTTTCTGTATGTCTGACAAACGGAGTTGGATTTTGGGACCCACATGGCAGAAGGAGAGAACTGACTCCTTGAGTGGTCCTCTGGCTCCACTTGGGCCACCACAAGAATAAATGTACTAAAAGAAAAAATCTTAAGGGGTGAATGATGGGAGCCTCGCTGGTCAGAATAATGAAGCAGGATTTCACTTTGGCAGCTGCCCCAGCACTATCTTTGATGACCAGAATTGAACCAAAATCGCCAGACTGGCCCAAGAGCGTGTCCTACTCTACCTGTACTCTTGGCACATCCTGTCAGCATGCATCCGTATCTTCTCATCTTTCATCTCTCCCTTCACCCTAGAAACATCACCTACCCCACCAGGCTCCCAGAAAACAAATTCACAGAAAACTAGCAAGCCCTGGCCAGCGTGACACTTTCACTCACTGTGGCTAACATTCTACTTCCTCACCCCATCTGACTTGCTGTAGGCTCTGATTTATTTTTTGAGACAGGGTCTTATTATGTAGTTCAGGCTGACCTCAAAGTCACTGTGTAGCCAAGGATGACGTTGAACTCCTGATCCTCCTGCCTCTACCACCTGAATACTGGGATTATAGGTGGGTATCACCACGCCTGGTTTATGCAGTGCTGGAGATGGAACTCAGGGCTCTGTACAAGCTTCAGCAAGCACTCTACCTACTAAGCCACAACACTTTTTTACCTTTTTCAGAGCGACTTTTCCATATGCAAACTTTGGTGTAGATGGTGGGATAGGACCTTCTGGGACTTCTTTAAACTATAGAGAAGAGTAGGGAAGAGAAGAAAGAAAAAGCTGTTAAATCTTTATATATCCATCCACAAAATTCATTTTTCAAAAGGAAGTTCAAAGACTCAAATGAGGGGCCAGCAGATAAGGGTGCTTGCTGCCAAGGCTGATGACCTGAGTTCAATCCCCATAGCCCATACGGTGGAAGGACAGACCGACTCTAGCCCCTTTTCTCTGACCACCACACACACGTAAGAAACAAGAGAGTCCTTCCAAAGAGCTGCTGGCAAAGTGTTTATGTCTAAGTGTGTACTTGTGTTTTAAATTCTGGGAATCATCCCAATAATTACAGAGCAAAAGACTTTAAAACAAAAAAGCAAAACCACACAATGATCATGATGACACTAGAGGTCTGACAGCACTGAACCAGAAGGCAGATGGTAGGGAGGTGCCTTGTTTCAATGTTAAATTTGTTGCAATTATTTGAAAGAATTGTGTGTGTGTGTTTTAAACAGGATCTCACTATGTAACCAAGCTATCCTCAAACTCACAATTTTCCTACCTTAGCTTCCTGTGTACCAGGATTAGAGGTATACACCACCACATCCAGTAACTAGAGAGAATATTTCTACAAGTTCTTGGAAAGCATGTAGTAACTATTTAGGGGTAAAGAGTCATGCTGTTGAGGCCGAAGAGATGGCTCAGTGGTTAAGAGCATTCCTGCTCTTGCAGAGGACCCAGGTTCAGTTCCCAGCACACACGTTGCGATTAACAACTGTCTATAACTTCATTTCACGACACAGGAGCACTTGCATGTATGCAGGCAAACCACTCATACACATAAAACAAAAAGTTTAAAGAAGACTCATGCTGTGTACAATCCTCCGGTGTCTTAGAGAACATACACGTCACACATACAGCACACATGTACACTGCACATAAGAGGGCAAGAATACAAATGGCAAAACAAATAATTCTGGATTTTGTAACTGAGGTGATGACCCATTGTGTAACAGTGTTTGCTGCACAAGCATGAGAACCTGAATTCGAATCCCAGCATCCATGCAAAAAGAAAAAAGCCAGGCATGGTGGTGTGCACCTGTAACCTTGCTGGGACTTGCTTGCTGCCAGCCTAGTTCCAGGTTCAGTAGGAGACTCTGTCTCAAGGGAATAAGGCTGAAGAATCTCAGAGCAGACCATCCAATGTCCTCCTCTGGCCTCCACCCACATGTGCGTGGGCATGCATACTCACATACATGTGTACATACATGGCACACATTGTCTTTCTCACACACAAAATAATCATAGAAGTAAAATATTATTAAATACAAACTATAAACATATATACATATATTTACATACATAGAGGAGGAAAGAGAGTCAGTCAGACTACTACTAGGTATATCAGCTCTTAGAAAAGTCTGTGGTCACCTGGAGTTTCCAAGTAGGATATATTATGACCAAGTAGATTACAGGGTGGCACCAATACTTATGAATGAGATGTTCAAGAGAGTAGTCTTGGGGCTGGAGAGATGGCTCAGCGGTTAAGACCACTGGCTGCTCTTGCAGAGGACCTGGGTTTGGTTCCCAGCACTCACATGGCGGCTAACAACTATCTGCAACTCCAGTTCCAGGAGATCTTATGATCTTATGAGTGTATTGCCTGCATGTATGTGAGTGTACCTGTATCGTGCAGTGCCGCAGAGGTCTGCAAGAGCAGTCAGTGCTCTTAACCACTGAGCCATCTCTCCAGACCCCATAAAAATTAAAAAAAAAAAAAATCAATCAAGGGCTGGGCGTAATGGCATATACCTTTAATCCCAGGAGCTGGGAGGCAGAGGCAGGCAGATCTTTGTGAGTTCAAGGCCAGCCTGGTCTACATATGGAGTTCCAGGCCAGCTGGGGCTATAGGGAGACCTGTTTCGAAAAGACCAAAAGAAAAAAAAAAAAAAAACCAATCAATGGTGTGGAGAGATGGCTCAGTGGTTAAGACTGTATACTGCCCTTTCAAATGACCAGAGTTTAATTCCCAGCACTTATGTCAGTGGCTCACGTGACCTGTAATTCCAGCACTGAATGCATGTGCACAAACACACACACATATGCACATCATCAAAAAAATCATAAAATAAAAATATCTTTAAAAAATCAACATGGGTGTATACACATACATACAGGCAATACACTCATACACATAAAATAAAAAAATAATTTTTTTAAAAAAAAATCAACCAATCTATGAAAAATGCAAGAGGCGTCTCCGTGGCAGTCATCAGTGGTGGGGGAGGCTGCACCCATGCAGGTGCTGAGGCTGCATACAAACTGTAAGGGAGAATGGACAGAGGGCCATGCAAAGATGAACCTGGGGGACCCCAAGTATCTGACCAGTGGCTAAGAGAGAGCTGTGAGGGGAACCATCTTCACAACAGATGATTGGATCGCAGCTTACTGTGTGAACATCACTTCCAATTTTTCTCTCTTCCCCTCTCCTCTCTTTCTCTTGTTCCTTCTTTCTTTCTTGTTTAGAAAACAGAATCTTCCTGCTTTAAAATATTTAGTGGCCTTTTTTTTTTTTTTTTTTTTTTTTTTTCCCCTCCAGTGCTGGGGAATCACACCCAGGGCCTTGCACATGCTAGGCAAGAACTCTACCACTGAGCTACATCCCTGGCCCTTAGTGGTCTTTCTCAGGAGGCTTTATAGCTATGTAAGTAGCTGATTTCTTATTAAAAATATTTGCTTGCATGAACAACTGAGTGGCAGTTGCAACGTGCAGCTCTGCCTGGCTCCTTCTTCACCAAAGACTTAGGGAGTGGAAAGTCTCTCCATTTGAGTCAATGTCAAAGATACAGGTGAACAGAGACAGGGAAGGACACTATCTTTCCCAGCCATGGGCTCCAGAGAGAATGGCTTCCTAGCAGGCTGAATAAGACTGTACCCAGTGGAGAGGACCCAGGCAGCCCTTCACATATGAATCTTCAAGGCATGACAAAACTCATAACATTTGCATTTTCTAAGGTACTCTCTTTGGTGTGGGTAAAACTCAACCAGACATGGTTAACACTTTGACCATAAATCTACAGGGCAAAGCCTTGTTCCTCCCTGCCAAGTCCTGATGAGGCAGTGGTGAGTTTTATTTTGTATGTACTCTTAGATAAATTTATGACCTTTTAAAAATATTTTATTATTTTTATTTTATGTTTGTGAGTGTAATGCCTGTATGTATGTAGGTGCACCTGTGTCATGCAATGCCTGTGGAGGTCAGAAGAGGGCATTGGATCCCCTGGAACTGGAATTACAGATGGTTGTTAGCTGCCATGTTGGTGCTGGGAATGGAACCTGGGTCGTCTGTAAGAGCAGTCAGTGCTCTTAATCACTGAGTTATCTCTCCAGCCCAAATTTATGACCTTTTTAAAGAGTTCTGTCTTAATTTTTTTCTTTTTACAAAAATTAATTAAATTTTATGTGTGTGTTTTGCCTACATGTATATAAGTGCACCCATGCATTCAATGCCCATGGAGACCAGAAGAAGGCAATGGATTCCCTGGAAAAGGAGTTTCAGACAGTTAGCCACCATGCAGATGCTGGGAACCAAACCTGGGTCCTCTGCAAGAGCAGCCAGTGCTCTTTACTGCTGAGATATCTCTCCAGCCCCTGAATAGAAAATTATTGTTTTTTTTCAATATTTTATTATTTTTATTTTATGTGTAAGAGTGTATTGCCTGCATGAATGTAAGTGCGTCTGTGTTGTGCAATGTCCAGGGAGGTCAGAAGAGGGTATCTGATTCTCTGAAACTGGAGTTAGAGATGGTTGTTAGCCACCATATGGGTGCTGGGAACCAAACCTAGGTCCTTCGCAAGAGCAGCCAGTGCTCTTAACCACTGAGCCATCTCTCCAGTCCCTGAGTAGAAAATTGTTAAAAGCAGTTAGGGAAAAACTGAGCTATTACCACAAAAGGAACACCAATAATGAACAGCTGATTTCTCACAAGAAACAATGGAAATCTTAGAGCAGCAGAATGGCACCTTGGTGATATTGACAAAACACTACATAAATTGCTTTTAAAATAAATTTTTAAAGAACTCTAGGAAATTAAGTAATTAATTAGACAGGGTTTCATGCAGTTCAAGTTGATCTTGAACTCACTATGAAACACAGGCTGACCTTGAACTACTGATCCTCCTGCCTCCATTTCACACGTGCTAGGATTTCAGGTGTGCACCAGCATGCCCAGCTGAACTCTAGGAATTTAAATAGAACAGGTAAGTTGTTCTTAGATTTTTTTTTTTTTGTCCTCAGAATCTGTGAGATAATTAGTGTTCAAGTATTTCTTACTTTGAGTTATTAGGTTCTGGGGTAATTTGTTACAAAGAAATAAAAAAGGGAAAAAAATTTAATTCCCCTTGAAAATTTCACATTCAGAATCAGACTTCAGGTATATCTGCAGCCAAAATTCACAGTACATCTGTAGAACAAAACTCCCTCAAGCTAGCCGAGCATGGTGGCATACGCCTGTAGTCCCAGCACTTGGGAGGCAGAGGCAGGAGGATCTCTGTGAGTTCAAGGCCAGCCTGGTCTACATAGTGAGTTCCAGGACAGCTGGGGCTACAGGGAGACCCTGTCTCAAAAAGACCAAAAAAAAAAAAAAAAAAAAAATTCCTCAAGCTAAAAATTTAATTTATTCATTAAAAGTCGTTGTGTGAATATGTGCATGCATGTGTGCGTGCATGCGTGCGTGCGTGCTTGCTTGTGTGTGTGTGTGTGTGTGTGTGTGTGTGTGTGTGTGGCACTTTTGGAGGTTGGAGGGCAAACTCAGGTATTGGTTCTCCCCTTCCACCTTGTTGAGGCAGGTTCCTTGTTCACCACTGCATAAGCCAAAATAGCTGGCAGTCAAGCTTGGGGTCTTTTTCTCTCCACCTCCCATCTTGCCTGTAGGAGTACTGGGGTTGTAGAAGTGTGCTGCTGCGTTCAGTTTTTATATGGGTTCCTGGGTTCTGAACTCAGGGCCTCAAGCTTTCAACCCACTGAGCCA